CCTCTTTTAATTTCTTTGTACTATAAAATAATCAAACAATAGAAATTGATAATTAGGTCACTTTCTATGGGTTCGACCCTTGCTTGCCATATCTACACCCATGTGTTTAGGTTCCATAAGGAAAACAAATAAATAACTAATTTCATGGTGTGTAATTTGTTAGTGGTATGACACACCATCAAATTTTAGCATCATTATCAAAGAATTGTATCCGATTAAATTTTTCTTATTTTTTTTTTAACATGACTTGGTATTCTCAATAATTTAGCTTTCAATATGACTTACAATCCAAAAAATTTGAAGAGGTAAACTTATCTTTTATTGAGTAATAAATTACTAATCTAACCTCTTTAGAGTATCAAATGGTCGTAAGAAATATGTAATAAGTCTATATCTATGGCATCCGTTCAATATCGAGACATTTATCAAACATATGCCCAATGCTTCAGAAGAATCCATTGGTGTGTATTATGTTATGATGGGATTTTTTAAAATAACCACAATATCAATATATCTTTAATCCAAAATTTGCACTAGTTATGAGAATTAAGTGGTTGATAATTCAACTTATAATAATCAAGGATGTCAATAAGTGTAACCACCATTTCAACCTAGACAACAAGTTACTCCAAATTTAGGAATATCTCTTAAGGATATTGTTAATTCTCTTGTGATCGATACTATGCAATTTTAGTAGGAAACAAGAGCTAGACTTCAAAATTTGAAGATTCATGTATGTCAATTGGCTACATTAATAGGTGGGGTAGTAATACAAGTCGTAGAGTAATTTTTCCTCCGAATTAGAAATGAGTTCGAAAGAATATTCAAATATAGTAAGTGAGGAAGAGGATGTATTTGAAGAAGAGCAAGTTGTTGAAGTTGTCGAAATAGAGCTAACTTATAATGAAGAGTAGAATAAGATTGTGGTTACCGATGAACTAGCCAAGTAAGAAAACAACATTGAGCAATTGGACTTGGACAATATTGATGATATGCTTAATATTGAATTTCTCCTTCCAAATGAGTTCAATAACGATGCCAATAAAATTAAGTTTTTCTTGCCATTATTTCTTCCTATTTTACAAGTCTTGTTCATATCATTATCACTTTTGATTTTTCATTATTTCAAGATTTAAGGAAGGATTTTCTCAAATGATGTGAATGTGATATGTCATTCAAGATTGAAGTTAAAAAGCCATATATGGAAAATACTTGGAAATGCACTTTGGGTGTCAAGCTTGACACGACCGGATCATCGTTATATGGATTCAAGGATGCCAATGTTGGCCTAGTGATGTTAAACAAATACTTTTACCGGGAGGTAACCCAATGAATTTAATTTAAATTTTATTGTCTCGGTTAATGTTTAAATTAGTTTTGTTTAATTTTCTCCAAATTCCCTATATGTTTGACTTGATTTTAAAAATGTATGTAGCATAGGTGTTTTTAACTTTGTAAGAAAGAGAGGGAAGGGAGACCGCATGGGCAATAGGAAGAGGCACGACATGTGCATTGGCAAAAGCATGCTCGTGTGGGAGCCTTGCATTCTAAAGTTCACTTTGGAGGAGAAAGGGCATGATTAGTAAGATATGGACATGAGTTGACTTCGGAAAACACACATCCGTATGTCCTAAGCTTGACATTTTAACTTTTAACAAAGAATATACGGACGGTAGTGAAAAGTTACACAACTATAAGAAAACATTCACATGCTCGTGTGGTTAATAAGTTTATGCAATGACAAGAGAGAAAGAAAGAAGACACGGGTAGAAATATCAAGGCACAGTTTATGCACTAAATTGAGCACGAGGATATGTCTCGAGCTTCCTTTTCATCTGCCACCGCTACTTTTCTTTTGACTGCTATAATTTCAGATTTGATCTCTTGTCCTTTCTCTTTCAATTTTATATACCTTTGATCAATTTTATGTTTACATTGATGAAAATGTAAAATTTAAGTGTGGAGGGAAGGAGTTTTAGGATTGTTATAATTGTTTGTGTGTTTGTGCTTTAGTTTTAGGTTATATATATATGTAAGAAAGATAAAATGAATGTCATGGTTTCATATGATATCCTTTTTTATTGATGATTCATGATGAATTTTAATAAAATCCGATGAGATTCAAGATTTTTTTGGATATTATTACTATAGAAGTGCATGCATGCTATAAAAACTTATGTGCCTTTATGATTAGCATAATTTAGGTAGTAATACCAATTTTGTAATTACCCTTTGAAACTAGACCTAAGCATGGTTTAAATAAATAGGATTTCTAATTATTATGAAAATTTTAAAAAAATTGAAAAATAAAGTAATCTAATTAGAAATTTGGCTTAATTGAGTAAATATCTACTCCAATGATTTGAGTTGTTTAGTAATTAGGTGTATTCATCATAAAAGTTTTCTTTTACATCAAACAACAATTTGAATTATGTGTATACAAAGCACTCTAAATTGATGACGTGTTGAGTAATCGGTTGCCTTCATCATAAAGATCGATAGTCGTGTAAAAGTGATGACTTAGGAAAGAATTATTAAAGGCCTTAAAAAAGATTAGGATGCCAAAGGGAGAAAAATTAAGATCAAAGGAAATCTTGATTTATTATTTTTGCTTTTAGTGGTGAAAAAATGGGTAAGGAAAAAATAATTGTTGTATGTGTTGAATTGTGGTTGGTTATAAAGATACATAAATCAATTTCGAGATATGCATAGATATGAGAATAATGTCTTGAATATGATCGATTTGACTATTTGATTTTATTCAATTTTGAATTGAGCATCAATGTTTGAAGGATAGTCATATTGGCATGACTTTATTTAAGCAATTTTGTGGGTATATCTTATGAAAACCCTTGCTAGACACAACTCGTCCACTAAGGGTAACTTAGGGGTTTAAAAGCTTGTTGCATGTGATAAATGCAATTATGATTCCTACGAAAGTGAGTTAGCTTTTTGTTTTGTTTGTTTTGCTTGAGAAATAGCAAAGTTCAAGTGTGGAATTATTTGATGAGTGCATAATTAACATGATTTTTATGTTTTTTTACATTAAACTTTTTAGATTTTATTGTACTATATTTAATAAATTAAGATCAAGATAATAATTATAGGCTTTGTAGGAAAAAAAATGAATCGAGCAAAGAAACCTAAAACCAAACTAAGGAGAAACACAAGTCACCAAGGAAGCTTAGAAGTCACATGGTCGTGTGAATTACAAAGAGAAAAAGCCACCGGCTATGTGAAAAAAGAAGAAATCATGTGGATTGCTCAGCAATAAAGCCACACGAGTAGTAGCTTTCCACACGACCGCAGTCGGGAAAGTGACACAACCGTATTAATGTCAAGACCGGAGTACCTTCCAAGAGGAAGAGACATCACATAGGCGAGTGCCCATTCCATACGAAATGCATTAAAGAGAGACACTTTCGTGTGTATGAAAGCTAGAAAAAGTCCACACGGGTAGAATGAAGTTACACGAAATGAAGAACAAACCAACATGGTCGTGCACCTATGTCCATTAAATCGTGTAACACCAATTCTTTAAGGCTTCAAACCATGTGAAATAGAGGAGCAAACCTTGTGTCTTTACAAAATAATTCGTGTGACTATGTGGATATGACATGTGTGTATTATAACCTACTTTTAGCTATATATAGTGATGTTTGGGTTTTATTTTGGGATTTTGACTTTTAGTAGTCATCATAGATAAAAAATTCTCCATTGTAATTAGCTATGAATAATTAAACACCAATCTTGGTTGAAGAAAGTTTAAGCTTATAGTTAAATCATTGTGAGATATTAATAGATTTTAATTCTAAACTTATCCTTTTTTAGTATTTTATATTTTTCTCGTATGATTTGGTTATAATTATGTGATTAATTAATTAGAGTGCACATTAATTGCTTGATCATCATAATCTATTACCGGCTAAGTATTCAACTTCGTGTAATTGCTTGTTTAAACTTGTCCGTTGTAGTAAATAGAGGTTGATGATTATAAATGCATTTTCGTTCAAACCCTTGAAAAACATAGAACTAGATTACATCTTTCTAGTGTCTAAGAGGGTGGTTTAGTTTCACTTATCTTTCTCTACTTTAATGTTATTATTGAATTAAATCTATCTAGCGTCTAGTAGGTTGTTCAATAGCTAGAGAATTAATAAAGTATCGTATATTTGATTAACAAATCACTAAGAAAATATTGGGGACAACATATATGTTGTTGTCCTATGGTGAATATTCATGTTAAGGATGGATTGATAATTGAATCAATGATCGATGATTAAACCAAAAGTGGATATTATACTTCAACCAAGGCTTTCCCATTATCATTATTTTTGGTTATTTTCTTTTGCTTACTTAAATTTACCACAAACACAAATGCTCCTTTAATTCCTTTGCACTACATAACAATTAGACAATAGAAACCGTTAATTAGGCCACTTTCTTATGGGTTTCGATCTTTGCTTTTCCTATCTACGCCTTTGTGATTGGGTTCCGTGAGGAAAATAAATAAATAAGTAATTTGTTGGCGATATAATACATTATCAATGCGTGCGGTTGAAATTTTTTGATTAAGTGAAGAGTGAAGTTAGGGATTTAGATTAGGATTTAGGATTTTTTTTTATCGTTAATTTTGGTTGAAGCCGATTTTTTTTTCAAAAACCAAACCGAACTCGAAATAATTTTGGTATTTCGGTTTGGTTTTAAATTTTATAAATTTAAGTTTAAAACTGAACCAAAATATATAATTCGATTCGATTTTATTTGATTTTTCTATTAATCGAATTGTTTGCTCACCTCTATCATGGGGTTTAAAAAGGAAAAAAAGAGATTTTTTTTCCTTTAAAAAGCAAAGAGAAAAACAAAATTTTTTTAAAAGGCAGATCATCTTCACCAACTCCTCTGTCTTTGGCCCCAGGCATGAAGCTTAACAAGTGTCGCAATGGAAGTCCATAGAATGCTGTTTGATGGCAATGCATGCCATGATACATCGACTATTAATGGCTGTTGAAGAGGCCATCCCACGTGATGTAGGGTATTTAAATCACATATATTTTGTTTTTTAATCTCTTTTATATTCAACGAAAAAGGCATGAAAAAGACATGCTATTAATTCGAACAGTATTCATCTTAATTAAAACAAATATAAATAACATAAATTACTCTCTCCATCTCGAAATAAAGAGCCACTACAAAAAAGATAAAAATTATAATTTATTTTTTAAACATTAAATTAATAAATATAAAATTAGGAAATTTATGTTTTCTAATGAAAGAATAATTTTTTTTCTAATTTTTTTTAAAAATAAATACATAATTATAAACAATTAATTGTGGCATGACACTTGTTGAATGGCGATAAGACCTGAAACATGAGTTGCTATAATATGGCATCATGCATGACATCCTACTAATTACTCAACTCTACCTAAAAGCCGCTTGCCATGCTTCCTTGCAGCTTATCTCTAAGAGTAAAAAAAGAAAAAAAAACTAATGTCCAATTAAGCTTTGGCCAAATCTTGTTCTTGACTGTGATCAATACATCAATAGCAATCTGATAATTTGCCATCCTTCAACACTGCGGTAGGTCAAGATATGATGGCTGCCATGACTGGCCCAAGGCCACATCATTATTTAGCCCAGTTAAGCTTCTAAATCTAACACGCATTTTATCAAAGGGTCACCATCGTAAGGCCCACCACAGAAACAACCTTCATGGAGTATGGAGAGGACCACCTTCAAGTCCCACTTTAATTTATGAAGACTAATCAATTAATTAGGAACCAGTCTCTTTATATTTTCTAAATCAATTATCTCTGTTGATCGCACCCCAACAGTTGTGCATTCAATATTTTTTTTCTTATAAAATATATTTGAGTTCTAATAATTCTACTTTAATTAATTATTATTATTTCGTAATGAAGAAAACTACTTCTTATTATGTTGCCCAAAACCCAACATGCATTCTAATGAAAAAAAATATATATATATATATATCAATTATGATTGTTTGGATAGGTTTTAATATGTTAGAAAAAATAATTTAGTTTCTATTGACATATAAACTGAAGGAAATATATATATATATAAAGTAAAGGATAAATTATGATAATCCTCTTAAGGTATTATAAAATTAATTACAAATTAATTACAAAGGCCATCCAAAATTTTGAAAATTTAACTAAACCCCGCTTTTACGTTTAAAAAAATTTACAAAAACATACTTTTATATCCAAAATATCTTGAATTACTATTAAAAAAAGTTAAATAAAGAATTTTAAAAAAATTAGAGAAAGAGTATAAAAAAAATGAAACTTGATTTTTTTAGTGCATGAATAATATTTATTTAATTTTTCTTAGTTTTCTTTTTAATATCATTTCTCTATTTTTAAAAAAATTTCTTAATTTGACTATTATTTTTTTTCTAAATAATAATTAAGGACAATTTGGTGCAATAGGGGAGTTTTTGTAAAATCTTTAAACTTTTAAATATTTTCTATAAATACATAGTACCTCAAGAAGATTATTATAATTTATCCAAAAACCAAAAAATCAGTATCACAGGGTGCTACTGAGTCCATAGCAGCTCTCCATCAATGGTTTATGGCTTACGATGATGAAAGAGGTCCTTCAAGGAGGTTATATTCCAACTTTTGTGCCGTGTAAGCAAATGTTATCTTTATCGTAAGATGCATTTGCACTCCACGCTATTGGATTACATTTGCAACCGGTAGAGCATTTCAAGAAGTAGGTTGACTGTCGTATTGTACGCATGTGTCAAGCGTCTTTGGATCACATGATTTGCTCCTCGAAGTCATACCTTTCTAGATTCAACATCTCCAATGGCACTCAAATCTCCTATTTCCATCTTTAGGCCATGGCCGCAGGTAGAAGAAAAATATGTCATAAATCCATACATTATGATATAAATGACCTGCCTAAAACTTAATTGAAAACAATTTAATCTCGGTGCAGAAAAATTAGCTTGAAATTACCATTACCATTGAAAATAATAATAATAATAATAATAATAATAATAAAGTTGTTTAGACGCACATAGTTGAGGTATTGATTTTAAAGTATGTGGATGTAATTTCTGGCCATCATTTTGAGCTTGAATTGGCTACTAAAAAAGAAATTACTCACCATTGATTTCAAAGTATGTGGGTGTAATTTCTTGCTATCATTTTGAGTTTAAATTGACCATTAAAAAAGAAATTACTCACCTGAAAGTTGTTGTTCAATTATAAATCGAGTGAGTTGATTTTTAGATGAATTTTTTTTTATTAATATGAAGAATTCGAATTCTAAAATCATACTTGTTAAAAAGATTGTTCTCGTTTTGAATAAAATTATACTTGTGTTCAAAGTCCGTGGGATAAGATATCTAGATAAAAAAGAAATTATTCTTAAATGCTTTATTAGGTAGGGTGTGAACAGTTTGCATGTGATATACTGAAACTTAATTTTAATACCTGAAAAGTAGTGGAAGAAAATCATGATCATTGGAAAGTATGTATATATATATATATATATATATATATATATATATAGAGGCACAAATCTTATACCCAAAATGGAAGATTGTCATCTCTTCATTCTTTTACTTCTGCATAGTGATGGAATTCTTTGTTGGGGGCTCTACGTGACTTTACTTTATGCCTTGTAGAGTCATTAGAATCCCTATGCTGAGAAGTACAAGAGTAAACTGAGCTTAGGATCTGCCACGGTTAAAACAAGCACTGGAATATGGTCAAAAAATGGGTAGCTATGATCTCTAGAGGGGCTTTGTCATGTCATTAAAGCTCTAGTGCGGGACACAATCACCTTCACACAAATCTTTTAAGTCTACATAACCCACATGCATGTTTTATTCTGTTCTATATATGAAGTGCTTCACTTCAATTAATTGCTAGCCCTTCTTAGATGCTCCTTTTCTTTCATTTCTGAATCCTTCTTGTCAAATCTCTCAAACCCAACAAGCCCATCAATCCAAGATGCTCAGGAGGAGTGCCACTCCAGACATGGAACTTTCACAGAAAGCTCTCCAAATCAAGCAAGATGACAAGTTTTTCTCTAGGCTTCTCTCCAAGGAAAGCTCCATGGCTAACCCATCTTTTAGAGTGTACTATGGTGGAGTGTCTGTTGCTGTCCCGTTCGTGTGGGAGTCTCAGCCTGGTACCCCTAAGTCCACATTTTGTGAAAATACACTCCCTCCTCTAACTCCACCTCCCTCTTTCTATACAAATTCTAATGAAAAACCCATGAAGAAACACTCAAGATCCAGTCTTTTACACTTGTTGTTCCCAAGGAGCAATCTCAAGAAAACCAATGTGTCCACTTCAGCGAAAAATTTGTCACCAACATCATCTTCTGCATCATGGTCACCATTGAATTCATCAACTCTTCAAACTCCAAGAAAGTACCATGAGAGGAGCAGGTTTTCTATCCGTGGATCATCATTTGATTCAAGGGTTTTTGATGATGTTGAAGAATCACACATGGGATCATCACCTACTTCAACTTTGTGTTTTGGCATTGGTGGGAGAAGTGCTACCGGTGGGCTTCGAGGATGCTATGGTGTGTGGTAGTCAATGGTTTGCCATTAATGTTTGATCTGGCTTAGGTACTGTGTAGAAGTTCTCTACATGTGTATGCTAGTGTATGTTTTTATTTATTTGGTGTTCTTATTTTTTCTGTGGTTGTGGGGTTTAAACAACTAAAACTAATGAAATGTATTTTTAATGTTGTGAAAAATATAGCTAGTTTATTTTGTTATTATGATGTATCCAATTAATTCAGCATCTCAGTTGTTAGCACTTCATCATCTTCTTATAAATTATGATTAAAGCTGTGGCTGAATTTAGCAAAATTTCAAGAAAATGAAGGTTACTTGAGGAAAAAGAAGATGACATGCTCTCTTTCTAGCACTGCTGTTGATTTAGTTTCCACTTTGAGGGGCAAGTGTTCTTGAAGTCATTCTTTTATCATTGTTTTGTAGTTATATCAAGTCACTAATAACCACTTTCACAGTGTGCAATTAATTACTATGATACTGCATTTCCTTAATGAGCATGGATCTGAAGCCCCCAAGAATACACTTGGTTGGAAGCTAGCATTTTTTGGAAGAATACACTTGGTGCAATGGGTAGTTGATTGGTGGAAGACATCGTTGTTAGAAGTTTCTGTCTGTCTTATCTTGTGTGATCATTTAATGAAAAGAGGAAAGATTGGTACAGTTTCCTACCGAGATATTTAATTTCATCAGTCCTTTCGCTAGGAATCTTTTGGCTCTGAGTTGTCCTCTGTCTCGTATTGAAATCTTTGTCATATCTTGTAAAAAGAGGACATTAAGCTCTTGCCTGGTTTTAAATAAAATCAATGAATGAGTTGATTCGCCTACCACACAACTATTCAATCAATTACACGTCATGTGTGTATTATAATCCCTGTTCATCTTGCCTCCTAGTCAATGCATTATTTGTCAGCTGCTCGAGACAAGATCTGATCTAGCTCATATGATCCAAAAAGATAAGCATAAACAAAGCAAAATCAGATCGGATACAAAGTTCAGGGAAATTTCTTCATAACCATGAACCATAAACAGTTCGTTCTGAGAAAAATCCAATTAGCAATTGTCGCGGACCCAAAGCATCTGTACTGTCGAGAACCTGAAGAACAAAAGGAAAAAGAAGCACTACTAAAGGGTCTCATTTTGTTCCTTTCTAATGACTGACTACGATGACTAGATGAGATTGAAGAACCTCACAAGAAAGAAGATTCCAAAATGGAAATCCAACAACGAACAAATACTTGCTGCTGAAGCTTTGCTTGTTTCCAACTTGTCGGCAGTTCAGCCTGCCAGCATCTTGAGCGTGTTTCACAGCCGTTCTGTGGCTGTGGCCCATATTTTTCCTTTGGTTAGGGATTCATTCAGTTTTACCTGGATAAACCATTAAGGATTTTCCCTGCCTAAAACTTCCAGATTCTTAATCCAATAGGCTCTTTCAGCTGCTTCAGAAGAAAGGCAGCTTTTCCTTTACTGTTCTTTCTCAATGAGTTTTGCAATATTGATCAGAAGCAAGATTCTGATAAACTGAAAGCAACTTTCATAGGCTTCATGAGATATTTCATTGACGAAAAACTAGCAAGAAATCATCCCACATGGTAATAAAATAGTTCTCTTAAAACTAATCAGAAGCTTGTATCAGGAACAAGCACGAACAATTTCAGCTGTCCTATCCGCATTACTATGTAGATTGTTATTTTTTTGTGAATATGTAGATTGATATTTACAACGCCTACAATAGAACGATAATAGGAGTCATGACTGAAATTTTTACCCTCCAGCTCCTCATGAATCCATGGTTGTATGGTAATCATCACTTAAACTAGTCTTTAACACAAAAATTGAGCAGCAGTTGCACGTGAGCCGATGAAGACAGTTGGAGATAATCAATGCTTCCTAACCAAATTTGGTTACTTCGTGAATTGCATTTGCTAAATAACTCACATTGCCTGTGGTAACACCTGCCATACTGCACTAGACAAGAACACAGTCATATCAGACAGCTCATTTTATTTCTATAGATAATTCAATTAATATAAAGAAAATGAAAAAACAGCTCTCACTGTCTGTAATAGCTCATTCAATTAATTTGATTTATGCATTTTTTTTTCAGAATAAATTTACCTCATGCGTCCATCAAGAGTCATGTATATGTGAAATTCCCTTAGCAGCCGATCAACCTGTTCAGGGGTTAAACCAGAGAAGCAAAACATCCCAACCTGCAAGTTGGTAACTTGTGAGATAAATGCTCAAATTTCAGTTTTCTTTTTCTTTATTTCAAGTACTTTGCACTAGAAGCAGTATGAATTGAACTACAATGTTAAACTACTAACCTGGTTAGTTATGTGTTCCCAATTGAGTGAAGAACCCAATTGCTCGAGGCTTTCCTGCAGAGTAGTCCGCAAACTTTGAATGCGATTTGCCATGACCTTGTTTTGCAGGTATGATCAGAAGTCATATTATGAGACCAATCCATTTATTTAATTGAGAAAGAATAGAACAATACAGGGTAAAAGAATAGTGTGATGGCAAATTTTGTCCCCATTTTATTGTGATTTGGTAATTTTAGATCTATAATACCAAATTGCGAAAATTTGAACTCTAAATTATAAGAGATTAATGTGATTCAAATTGCCCAATTTTCGTTATGTGTAAGAATCAATTCAATTGACCATTGCTTGAAATGCCAAAACGATGTCGTTCGACATTCCACTATTAATTATATATATAAGATCTGAAATTGTGTATTGTTACCTATGTTTTTTTACAATAACATTTTATAAAAAATTTTTAAAAAAATTTCAAAATTAAGGGGTGAAAAATATTTATAAATTTTTTTAATATAATTTATAAAATATTTATACTATTTTATAAGAAAAAAGTTAAAAAAAAATTCAAGATTTGAATGGTTAAAAATATTTTTTAAAATGTTTTTTTTTTAAAAAAAATATAATTAACAGCCGTATGCCAAAACAACATCGTATTTTGAAGTTTCAAATAACGATCAAACTAGTTAACCGTTACATATAATGAAAATTGGGTAATTTGGATCACATTTATCCAAATTTCTAATACTTCAGGATTTAAATTACATAATTTGATATTATGGATTCGAAGTTGCCAAATCACAATTGAATAAGGGCAAAATTTACCATTAAACCGTACAAGAACTCAACTGATAATATTTACCTTCACCTCTTTCATCCAAAGTGCTTTCAAATCAGGATCACTCAAGATAGCCGAGACCAGTAATATACCATGAACAGGAGGGCTGCTGTACATTGCCTGCGCAATCTGCTGCAATTGACTTTTAATTGCAACTGCTTGCTTTGCATCATTGCAGAGAACACTGAAAGATGCAAAAGTAGCCGATATTAGAAATCAAACCTAATGACAAGTAAAGATGGTTAGAGGTAAGCACCATATGGTTGCTTGAACAACAACCAGGCCGTACCATCTGAATATCATTCAATGGTAATGAAGATAATTCAGAATGGTCTAGGACTGTGTCAATTAATTTCTCTGATTTTGTTTACTATTTTACACTCCTCAGTACTTACAATCTACCATTAACTCAACTAGGTGCAAAAGCTAACTCTCAATTAAGTCTACTCTAATAAATTACGAATAAAACCATCTATTCCAACCCTTGAAAATGAAAAACATGCTTACAATGTCGAAATGTAATGCAGAATGTGTACATACTTGAGACAACCAACTCGGTGTCCATATAATCCCATGTTCTTCGCAAAGGATTGAGCACAACCTATTAAATGCCCATCTTCAACAAAAATCCGGATTGACTGTGCATCCCTGTCAAGGTCCCCAGTTGCGAAACCTTGATAAGCCATGTCAAAGAAGGGGAAATGATTTTTTACCTAAAAAAAAAGCAAAGATAGACTTAGGTTGACAATCAGGATATGAGGAAATGTGGCAAAACACAGCGTCTGGCATTGTTACCTTAAAGTGATATGAAATTTCTCTCCACTGTTCCTCAGTGGGGTCAACCCCAGTTGGGTTGTGAGCACAAGGGTGGAGTAAGAAAAATGAACCATCTGGGGCACTCTACAGAAACCAACAAACGGAGTAAACTAGTGAAACTTGATAATTTTTTTACTCCACATTTTGCAAGGATTAATATAATGCAGCATTTTTGGTACTCTTCTCTGCAAGAAGAGTTATTATTCAGAAAGGAAACAGTTATATTCGAAATGAACATGTCTGAGGCTATTCATGATTAAACAACAAGTCATGTAGAGATAACCTGCTCATTGTTGACTGTGTCATGTGCCTCTCAGTCACAGTGACACATCTTTTGAATTACCAAATAAAGAATTATCCGAGTGACACATTCTAGTAGACTGCTATACCTTAACATCATCCAAAAGAGCAGCAAAGTTTAAACCCTTTGAATCAGGATGGTAGTAGTGAAAAGTTCTCTCTGGAACTAGAGCATCTCTCCATATGTTATGGTGGCTATAAATTGCACAAGATCAAATGTCAATGACAGAATGGAGATCACCCATTAATGGTTCATATACCTGATAAGAACCGAAGATACCAAACAAACTTACTTAGACCAAGTTGGATCAGGCAAATATATTCGAGATTCAGGATAGAAACGCCTCTGGAACTCAGCAAAGAGACGACATGCACCAGTTCCCGATAGAGCTTGAACTCCAGCAAACCTCCCTTCTTTTATAACATCTGAATTCTTTCCATAAACCAATTTGACACTCTCCTCAACCAGCTTTGAACTCACTGCCGAAGATACCGACTCCCTGCCAATACCTCTAAAAAGTTGAGACTATAAAACATTCGGTAGTAGAGAGGAGTTTGCACAAGGATAAAGCTTGCATTCAACAAAATGGCTTCTGCAATTGAACCAATTTATAATTTGGAAGATGCGGTAAGCATGACAAACCATTTCTCTATAAAAGATGCCCAAGATTTTTGTGCGGTAAGAATGAATCAAATCCACATTTACCGCATCCTTTCACAACAAGAAAGAGATTATTTATACAAACAGATCGACATACAAGATTAGATTAACTCAACGGTACCATAATTACCATTGACAATTCCCATTCGAGAACAACCATGATTAAGGGCATTAACATCTTGACATTGTCATTTGAAGTTATATATGTAGCGACCGTAAAATGAACTGTTTATGTTAGAAAAAAGAACAACATTACATAAATACAGCAGTTTATGACCACTCAATTTACAGACAAGCTCTGGAAAAAAAAAATATTGTAAGTTGAAAAGCCAAGTTGTAAGTGAAAATAAACACATCCTGAATTCCAAGCAAATGCACTATTAAATTAAATTAAGCAAATTGAAGCAAATGAAACTCACAAGAAGTCACAACCAGTAATCTTTGCCTCAGCCTCTCTAACACATTGAAGGACAACAGGTTTCCCTTCATCATCCCTATAAGCTCCCTAAAAATTGAAACAAGAGAAAATAATATTAATGCACAGCCCACCAAAGACTGTACAAGAAACACCATCAATAAATATTAAAATAGAAAAATATACCACTCCAAGATTGATCTTTGTGGGACTAGTGTCAGCAAGAAAAGCCTCAGTGACACTGGTAATGGGATCTTTGGGAGCTGGGGCTACATGATCCCACCATTTAAGTGTCTTGATGTTGCTTGTTGATGTTGAGAAGCATCTTGATGTTCTTGTCAAAAAACTCTTCCACATGATGATGATAAATAATCTTCAATCTCAGCTAACCCAAGAAACCCAGCAATGCCCTTATTTTCATCGCGCAAGGAGATGGAACGGAGCTTAAGTGGGCTGTCATAAGTCTCATCCATGGTTTCTCTCTCAATTTTCTAGAAACTGTTTTCCTGTGGGCTAATGGTAGTTGGTTCAAAAGGTAGCACCAGGGTTTTACTAGTTTGCTGCTGATCTTTCCTACAGAACCAACAGAAAGTGCTCGACTTGATGACTTATTTTCACCCTTCTTTCCTACACTCGTGTCGGGTCTACCATCCCTTGTTAGTTTTCCGCAAATTTGGCGTTGGATGTCGCTCTTTAATTCCTAAAATGCCCTTTTCTCTCTTCAATTTTCCAAATAGTATCCGTTATGAAGAAGACTATCTACGGATAAAACGATTAAATAATGAATGGAAAGAATGTCATTTGTTGTAATTTATTCCAACTTTTTTATGATTTATATTATTTTGTGTCCAATCGTTATTTTCAAATTGTTAATCGTTATTCTATAAATCTAATGACTATAAAGTAAACCTCTCTCTATATTTTGCTTGATTTGGTTGAAAGAAAAGAAAGCAACAAATGCGTGAGAAGGTTAAGAACATGACGATCTAGAGAGAGACAACCAATCTCGATTTTTTTTTTAATGAAAAAAATTAATTAAAATATTTGATTAATTAAAAAATGGATATATTCAAGCAAAAAGATTAAAATCTATATATTTAATCAAAAAAATTGAATTACTTATAAAACAATTATTCACAAACACACACTTGTTAAAATTATTTGAAAAACCATTGAGTTGAAACTAAAAATTAATATATATATTTTTGTAATGCAAACATTAAGTGTTTTATCTTTATAACAAATAGATAATTATCCATTACACAAGTGTTTCATGCAAAAGAATAAAAGAAAAATATTTTAGTTTTTTAGATAATATATGAAGTTGGTTGTAATTTAAAAACTTTTTTAAAAAGTAGAATTTTAGTTATTTTTTAGTTGGTAATATGAGAGTGTTAAAAAGAGTGTTGCTAGCATTTTTCATATATTAATTCTAAAAAAACTAAACTTTTTTTTTCTATTTATTCATAGAGAAGATATCCAAACTTAAAATCTTTGATGGAAGTAAAACATTAATACTAGTTGAATTACTTAAACCCAAAATTTTAATTATGTTTGCTTGTTTAAAGGTTTCTCAAACTTTTTTGAAGTCCAAAAGCTAAATTTTTTCTCTCTCCATAATTGTTATAAAATAATATAAATAATATTCTAAGATTTCATTTAACAGACTTTACTTTTTAGATTGAGATGATCTTTTAACTTAGTATCGGAGCCTTACTAGCCTAACGATCAAGAGTACGAATCTTACCATTTTCACTTTCTCTCCTAATATTTTTTTTAAAAAAGCACAAAGTATTGATGAGCTTGTGCAAGTTTCAAGTCCAAAAGGCTTTCAATTGAAGGAGTGTGTTAAGAAATAATATCAATCATATCTCGAAGTTTCACATAAAAGTTTAAATTTTGGGATTGGGATGATCTTTTTACATTATCCATAATAACCATGAAAATTTTGTTTATGACTATTATGACAAATAGCAGAAACAAGACAAGTAATGATAGGTACTAATCAAATGTTAAAGCTAAATAAATTATTAACACACAAGATTTACGTGGTTCGACAAATTGCCTAATCTACGAGCAAAAGGAAAATTTTATTAGCTTGATAGTAGGAGAATACAAGAACCTTAGAGGCTCAATACAAAGTCTCTGTCTTTTTACTCTATTTCCTAAATAGAGATATAATGAGGTTTAAATACCTTATACCTATAAAGAAAAAAACCTAATGGGCTAAATATATTATTGGCCCATAAAATTCAAGTCACACAAAACAAATCTCCACCTTGGCTTGAATTATGTAAACTTTCAAGAATGTCAAATAATTCCTCAAAATACACCTATAAGTTTACGTGAGCTAACTCGGTGTAAGAAATAAAAGATATGAAGATAGAAAATATTGACTTCAATATTAGGACTAACAAATTCCTTCTTTCCAACAAAGCCCCAACATGCACGTAAAAATGCTCGAGGCATATGGGCACAAGACAAATGCTTCACATGGGCGAAGCATGAAGCACGGGAGAGAGAGAAAACTCACACTGGTCGTGTCTCTCTCCTTCACACGGTCGAGCCTCTCTTTTCAAGCAATAAACTTTGATTTTCTTAACACCACTCAAGTTCAAACAATGCGTAAACTTGTTTGCTCGTAATAGGTTTAGTTAACATATCAACTCGGATTGTCTTTAGTGTGAACTTTCTTCACTATAATCTTCTTGTTCGAAACTCGCTTCACGAAATGAAATGATACATGATATCAATATGCTTGGTCCTCTCGTGATGTGCTTGGTTTTTAGTTAAGTGTATAACATTCTGGTTGTCACAAAAGACAACTAAATTTTCTTTTTATTGAAGACCAAGTTCCTCAACCAAATAGCCTCTTTCACGACTTCGATTGCTGCCATATATTCTCGCTTCATTAGTTGATAAAGCAACTATCGACTATAATGTTGATCTTTAACTAATAACGGAACCTAAAAGTGTAAAGATATATCATGTCAATGATCCGCTTTTATCGAGATCACTTCGTATAGTCGAATCCACAAAGCTTACAATAGAAGTTTTAAAAGCATTATCCCTTTCAAAGACTAAACCCAAGTCCGTAGTACCTTTGAGATACCTAATAATCCACTTTATTGCTTGCCAATGTACCTTTCTTGGATGAGCCATATATCTGCTCACAACACTGATTGTTTGGGCAATGTTTGGACGAGTGCGGATCATAGCATACATTATGCTACCTATCGCACTAGAATATAAAACTCGTGACATTTCCTTCTCTTCCTCTTCATTCCGAGGTGACTGAGAAGCCGAAAGTCTAAAGTGTGCGACCAATGAAGTATTAATAGGATTGGCCTTCGCATACCAAAGCGCTCAAGCACTTTCTCAATATATCATTTTCGTGCAAGATCTAATTTTCCAGCCTTCCCGTCTCTATGAATCTCCGTACCTAAGATCTTTTTCGATACTTCAAGATCTTTCATCTCAAACTCATCACTGAGTTATTTCTTCAAGACTCGCATTTTCGATATGTTTGTAGTAGCAATAAACATGTCATCCACGTATAATAAGAGATACATAAAGGATCTATCTATAAACTGCTTGAAATACACATAACTATCATAAATAGATCTTGAATAACCATAATTAAGCATAAAACTATTAAATCTCTTGTACCATTGCCTTGGTGATTATTTTAAACCATATAAACACTTCTTCAATCTATAAACATGGTCTTCTTTTCCTTCCATAAAGTATCCCTTTGGTTGAGACATATAAATAGTCTCCTCAAGCTTTTCATGTAGAAAAGCTATTTTCACATCTAGTTGCTCAAGCTCTAAATCAAATTAAGTCACCATAGAAAGCAACACACAAATAGTGGTATGTTTCATAACCAAAGAAAATACTGTCATTTTAATCAATTCTTTCCTTCTGACTATAACCCTTAGCCACCAATCATGCCTTGAATCTAGCATTTTCAACACATGGTATTCCGTCTTTCTTCTTATAGACCCATTTGTATCCAATAATTATGTTACCTTGAGGTATTTCACCAAATCCCAAGTTTGATTTTGTAAAGTGACTCGAGTTCTTATGTCATTGCAACAACCTACTGATTAGACTCTTCACAAATCACTACCTTTATATAGGTAGAAGGCTCCCGAATACCATTGTCTCGGCTCCAGTGAGGGCATATGCTACTAGATCAGCATAAGGATATCTCCGGGGAGGTCTTATCTCGTCTCCTATCTCGCCCGAGTAGCTATTGAGTAATGTTGTTTAGATTCCGTGGTATCTTTATTTGTATTTAAATCTTGTTGCACGTTTACAACTCGTAGGGGATACATTTGGGGATGGTTTTTTCGCAGTTTTTCTTTTAAACTCCACCTAAAGCTCCACCTTATCCATGGCTTTCTCACTCTTTCCTGTAGACTCACAAACCTTTCCTTGATCAAGCATATATTTCTCATTAAAAGTAACATCTCTACTAATAATGAATTTAGATGAATTGGGTTCAAGGCACCATAGATAATAACCTTTCACCCTATCGACGTAACCAACAAATAAGCATTTCTTTGCTTTAGGTTCAAGTTTACTATTTTTAACATGATAATAAGCGGGGTATCCAAATACTTTTAAATTTGAATAATCACTAAGTTTACTCGACTATATCTCATTTGGAGTCTTACAATCAATGACGCTAGAGGGAGAACGGTTGATAAGATAACAAGCTTTGTTAACTCGCTTCGACTTAGAAATCCTTCTCCAAGCTCGAATTAGAGAGCATACATCTAGCTCTTTCCATCAAAGTCCTGTTCATGCGCTCTGCCACCCTATTTTGCCGAGGAGTGTGTCTAACCGTACGATGTCGGACAATCTCAAAGTTCGTACAAAACTCATTAAAGTTTCTACCACGTAATTCTAAGCCATTATTTGTTCGAAGAAGTTTAACCTTCTTTCCTATTTGATTTTCTATTAGAACTTTCCATTGTTTGAAGGTTTCAAAAACATCACTTTTATATTTGAGAAAATAGACCCAAAAATTCCTAAAGTAATCATTAATAAACATTAAAAAATAAAATGCACCACCTTTGGATGGAACCCGAGTTGGTCCCTATAAATTTGAATGATGTAATCAAGTGTGCCTTTTATAGAATGAGTGATAACAAAGAACCGCACTCTAGTTTGCTTTCCTAACACACAATGCTCACGAAATTAAGTGATGTCATTTGATCACCATAAAGCAAATCACGTTTACTCAAAGTAGTCATACCTCTCTCATTCATATGGCCTATACACATATGCTATAATTGAATCCTTTCCCTTTCGAGTAGGAAGTAATCACCTCTGCAGAGCTCGTTCAT